CTTGTGCTCTTGTACCTGTTTGCTTTAGGAATTACTGTGTTGTATATCCCATCCTTTCTCTTGTGATTTTTGATGAGTTGTCTGCCTATATTTTTGTTCTTAAAATGTTTTAAGAGCTTTCTCTTTCAATATGTAGCATAATTTACAGTATGAACATTTTTATAAAAAGATACTCCATTTCTATTTTTAACTTTTTCCTGTCATCTTGATTAACTTTTTTAATTGCACTTAAGATTTTGAATGCTTTGCTGACGAAAATAGCAGAGGGATAAATTTGCTAGTATCTGGTCACAAGACATATTTCAGCGCTGTCAGTCTGTATGCTGGTGTACAAAATAAAGGGTCTCTAAAGGTCTGAAATTTTCCTCCGCTCCTTGCCTTGCCCCTCAGCAGTGTGACATTTGATTTTCCATGCAAATCAGTCATTTTGGATGGGAAGAGAATAAGCTTTAAAAAAACTTGCATGAAAACATGAACATTTTGTATTTAAACAAAAGGCATAAAAATAGAAAATCCTTTTTCCTTAATTGCCAGAAGGACTGAGATTTGAATGATTAAAACACGGCCTTCTGTAGGGGGACCTTTTTTGGGGGCAATTAAGTTCTTGAGTATATAGAGGTACTTGGATTACTGTTTATTGCTAGGGTCTGTTGTTCCCTTTCCACTTCCACCAGCTATTCCTGCTGCCCATTTAGTATTCCAGTCATTTCCATCTATCTTCAAACAAGGCAGTAATCATCTGTGTCAGACTACCTCTGTTGATACTTGCAAAACCTGAAGTTTCACCAGAAATGGAGAAATCTCTGTGAAATGTAGCTCTTGCCTCCTTCTCATCACTCCTGCCTATGAACAGACAGTATCTTCCCTGTGGAGTATATCAAACCAGAGCCCCAAAAGAGTGTGTGTACACTTGGAGCAGAAGGGTGTTTTTAGTATAGTAGTTAAAGTTATTGAATGGTTTGGATTTAAACATTCCAACGTCCCTGCAACTAAACCAGGTTGCTCAGAGTTCCATCCAGGCCTGGTCTTCAGGAATGGGGCATCCACAGCTTCTCTCAGCAACCTGTGCTAGTGCCTCACCACCCTCACAGTAAAGAATTTCTTAATAATATTTAACCTAAATCTACCCTCTTTCTCGTTTAAACTTGTTCCCCATTGTCCTAATGCTACATGTCCTTGTGATAAGTCCCTCCAGCTTTTTTGAGGCCCCCTTGAGATACAGGAATGTTTCCTCAAAGCCTTCTCTTCTCCAGGCTAAGCAATGCTCCCAGCTTGTCCACACAAGAGAAATGCTCCAGCCCCCTGATCAATTTAAAGGCTCTCTTAAGGATATTTCAAGTAGATAGTAGCCAAACCAGCTTTAACCTTTTCTCTTGATTAAGGCAGGGAAAGTGCTCACCTTTTAGATCAACCAGCTGTAGTTTTGCATCTTTTTTTTTTCTCCATGCTGTGCCATAGCTCTGCTCTCACAAATTATAATCTTTTCAAGTTTTCAGGAAGCCAGTGTTTCAGGAGAGAACTGAGAACAAAGGGGCAATCCAGATTTTTTTCCAGGAGAGCATTCGATCTTGAAGTTGTCAAAGAAGGCGACTCCTAACATAGAGAAAAAATAAGTGATTTTTCTCTGTAAGTTATAGTATTGTAGGTACCCAGAAAAGTTCCAATTTAAGGGCCTGATGTGCGAAAGATTACCTATAGCTTGCAAGTCTCTCTCATACAATATAATTTCCATTTATATACAAACCTCTGCAAACAGAACAGTAGAGGTTCTTTTAGGTATAAATGTGTGATTTTTCCCTTCTCTGGTTGGGCCATTAAAAATTAGTAATTTTGGTTTATTTGATTTTTTGGTTTTGTCTTTGATTTTTCTCAAGACATTCTGGGGAGACTAATCTAGTTTCAGCCTCTGGTTGCTAGTGGTGTATTTTCTGAGTATTGTTTGAGAATAAGGAAACTCCCAAAAGGAACAATAAAAAAAAATCCACAATATTTACAGACAGTGTTGCAGTATATAGAAGATTGTTTTTAGGCACAGGAGCATAACACGTAACTAGAGCTGGAATTCCCTGAAAGAATTGAAACTCCATACTGCAGATGTGATGCTGATTTGCAGTGTCCCTTTGCAGAAATTGCTTTTACAGTAAGACTATTCATTTTGAGAAAAAAACCCGTGAACTTGTAGAATACTCTATTTCACAGATTTAATATATATTAATCTTGTATTGGGAATTGAGAATTTTTGTAAAAATATTAAGAGATATGTCAACACCATAACTATTTTCCTCTGTTTCTGCTGAAGCAGAAATATAAAATATTGTCTTTTCCTAATGGGCTTTAAAAGAAAATAACAGCAACAAAAATACCCTGGAAATCGTGTAAACATTTTATCTCCTGTAGTTTTAAGCACTATACAAATTTTGCAGAACAATATTAGTGAAATCATGTAATCGATTTATGTAAAGTTAACATCTGAAATCCAAGCAACAGCTGAAGTCCTTGAAGTGCAGGTATACTTCAGGCAAACTCTATATTTTCATTTTTTGCATGCTTACAGTAATATTCCAGTATACATGATATCCAAATGTTCTATCAGCCTAAATGTATTAGCTATAGTTCCCTTTCGAAGTGTTAAAAAAAAAAAAAAGGATTTTTTTTTTGGTATTCATTATTATTTGGAGTGTAACTGGAAAAGTGCAGTAGTGCTGGTAGTTGCATCTAATTATATTGTGTGCATATACACGTGTGCTATGGCACATGAGAGATACAGCATTCTGAGTTATTTAGGAAGTTCATGGTTAACTAAAATAGAATAAGCCACCTTGGCTTTTTGTAAATATTTAGCTAATTTGAAGATGTTATGCCAAGATATGTTCCTGGATGTTGTTATCTTAATTTTTTTGTTTTGAATAGTCTAAATAGTTACTTTAACTGTCAGGCATCCCTTGAACACTGTAGTGCTTAGCACCAGTAGCAGTCGCCAAGTGTCTAACTTTTAGGCTCAGAATGTTTGATTTATCAGGTGGCAGAATATATTCTTGTCTGTTCTTATTCCCTAAAATGAGTAGTCAGAATACTGTTTAATGTGAGTGTGTTGCAAAGCAAAAATGTTTTCATGTTAGTGCTTCACACTTCTCATGAAAAAGGAGATTTAATTATTGTCACCTGAGGGAGCTAGCAATTAAAATAAATTTGTTCTAGATAATTTTGTTTATTAATAAATTATTTTTTCTTTGACTTACTGAAAGACCTCTCAAAGTAGTTAAGATACCCTCTGAAAATTAAATTCAGCGCTGACACAATCTAGACATACAATACCTACCTTTGTGGTAAGGTACATGAAATTAAGAATTCTGTAATATTCCAAGGCAGAAATGCAACCTTGCAGTGATTAAGACAGTGGTTTCTATGAAAGCCTTTGATTCGCAAAAATAGTACATCTTTTGTTGTGCGTGATGGCTGTTGTGGATGAATCTTGGAAACTGTATGCTTTTCACACTTTGGTTTTTATGGCATGTGCTTGGATGACAAGTGCAGGCAATGGCTGTTGAGCAGTTTTTTGCATCCCAAGAACAGCAAATACCAGTTTATAGTGTAGGGAATTATGGAGCATTGAAAACCTAGTTTGTATTATAATTATACCTTTGTGTGCTTTGTAGTGTCACTTGAACAATAAATTAATTTTCATAATCACAGCTTTGCTAGGGAATTTTGAGTTACAACTGCTTCTCAGTTTCTAAACCACTGAGTCTGTGAAAGTGTCACTTGATGCCATGTGGGCTATACCTTTTAGAATGCCATGCATAGCTGTTGGTAAACCTTTACTGTTACCTTGTGGTGGGCTGAACTTGCTGCATGCCAGGCTGCTTTATCACACCGGTCCTCAGCAGGATGGAGTGGGAGAAGAGAAGAAGATGGAAAAAAAATCACATGGATCGAGATAAAGGTAGCTTAATGAAGTAAAAGTGAAGGCCATACATGGAAACAAGGGAAAGCAGAAGATTTATTCCATACTACTACTTAGTAGGGGATGTCTTGCTTCCCAGTAGGGCTTCAGTGAGCAAAGTGGTTGCTCTGAAAGACAAATTATGAAAGCACAATGCACAGCCTCCATGCCCTGTCCCCCTAAAGACTATCTCATTTCAACCCCTCAGCCACAGGCAGAAGCACCTTCTACTAGACTGAGTTGCTCAGAGCATCATCCAACATGACCTGGAACATTTCCAGACATGAAAGATCCACAGCTTCTTTGGGCAACCTGTACCAGTGCCTAACAACCCTCAAAGTAAAGAATAATGCCTAATCTAAATATACTCCCTTGTAGTTTAAGTAAAGTTAGAAGAAGGGTAGATGTAGCTTAACCAAAGATAATGATAATTTCAGTTTTATCAAAGAAATAAAAGATGGAACTGATAAAGAAGGTAAAAAAAGTATGAAGCTAATCAGCCTGATGCTACAGAGATGTTTCTGTGAAGCATGAAAAATAATGAAGGGATTGGCAGAGATGGAAAAGGCAGGAGATTTAATGTGTAGTATAAAATGTGCCTAAAATTATTTTAAAATCATACTTGGCAACAGAAAATTATAGCAAAGATGTCAGGTATCAAGAGAAGAGATAGTGTCTATTTTAGGAAACTGGAGTGGTGCCAGATAAATAAGCATTTTGATGGTAATGATACACATGACCTTTGTAGAAAGTTGTTCACAAGTACATTACATTTTTTCTGTGTGAACAATATTTTCCAAAGCAAAAAAAAAAAAAGATAATATTTTTGTGTTTTAGTCTTAAGATGGTGTCATATTTTTAAAACAATTATTTTTGGGAGTCTATCCATGCAAATAAAATTGTGAAATCAGTCTCTGGTATATGATTTTCCCATTTCTCTTCCTCGTGTTATGAACTGGTGTGATGGAAACCTTCTATCTTTTACATATATATTGCTTTAGTATGTTTTTGTGGGGATAGCACTTTTTCACAGAGGTAAATTTTCTTTTTTTCACAGAACCCTGTCAAGAAAATCCCAGACTCTCACGAAATTACACTCCGACATGGAACAAAGACAGTAAGTGATAACATGTTTTCAACCCTTCACGCTTTTCTAGAATTGTTAACAAATACGTATCAGCTAAAATTCAAGAAGTAAATTTTTTCCTTGATTTGTTATTTTAGTTGGTCTCTTTTCTTAGTGCAATTCAAAGTGTGTTTCATGACCACCTCTTCAATTTCTTGTAATAACCTAAATATGGCTCCATTTGATTCAATTGTAGTCTTCTTTTCATCAAGTATGTTGTCTGTAATTGTTACTTTTTCTTCTAGTACAGACCTTCCTAATATGTAGACATGAGTCTAATCTAGACCTTTCTTTGGTCAAGGGTTTAAAGAAGAATGTTATTTAACCAGCAGCTTCTCAGCAGCTAATACTTCATTTTACTTTGATATTTTAGTGCCTTTTATAACACCATTCTCAATTTCTTGAGATCTTGTTCTTCCTTGTCTTTGACTGCATCTTTTCTAGTTTCTATCTCCAGTACTGCTCCTTTGCTTTCTTTTAAAGAACACAAGTGATCTTGGAAGTATCTTTTTTGCTCTATATATTTCTATCTTTGTATAATCACATCTTCCAATATAAATTAAATTGTTTTTGTGGGCTAATTGACATGTAAAACATTCATTGCATTACACTAAAGAAAATAGAGAGGATTTTTCTACACACAGTGCATGCAACTGCTTTGCGTTTTAATTTCTATAAATACTAGGTTTTGCAGAGTATTGTACTAGTGCAAATCAGGTTTCTATTTTACATGTGACATTAACTACCTCTGCAATTAAGTTTCTTGAATACGTGTCCTAACAAAATGAATTAGGTAAATTTTTTTTATTTATTTTTTTCTATATTAAACCAGTAAATCTTTTAATGGCTTCTTAAAGAGTAATCTCATGTTATTTCTAACTAAAAGGCCTTGTAAAGTGGAAGTTACAGTTCTGGAAGACTTCTGAGATATTTTGACTGCAGGAGAATGCAGCTGTCATCACCTTGAACAGAGGTGAATTGTAACGTGGGATATATATAGCGCAGTTGGATTAGACTGGATGCAGTAAATGAAACATATTGAAAAAAAATCTCTTCTGTAGAAGGGCTGTCTTTTTGGGTTTTTTGTTTGTTTGTTTGTTTTAGAATACTGCAACCATTTACCCCTGACCTTGCACACATAAGAATGGGAGTAACTTCATATCTTGATTTTGGTGTTTTGCCCCAGTTTTTTAAAATAGTCTTCTTACTATGTTCATACAGTGTACTGTATTTCAGCTAAGCTTATATATCCCATCTGTACCTCTTTAATCTAGTGAATGTGGATTTGATGATGACTCTATTCCTGTGCAGCTGAGAAATCTCAGGAAAGATTTCCCAAACTAGAGAGTCTTCCCAGAAACCTGATTAATTTCCCAGTTGTATTGCTTGCACAGTGTAATAGTAATTACTGTTCTCAATGAAACTTCATATATATTTTTTATTTCTCATTGTACTTTTGATATATAGGTGGGTATGAGAAAGAATATGAAATTTGTACTTTCTAATATTTCATCTGACAACTGTGCCGTCATATAGAAGTTACTGAATAGAACACTTGAGTGTTCTGATTAATCATGAGATCCCCAGTTTTTCTGAATGTCAGAAATCATGGGAGAAATGGCTAGGGTTCAAAATTTCCATTTAAGTTGTAAAAGAGGTATAGTCTTTTTAGAAACACATAAGAGATTTCACATTTTAAAAGATTTCTGCAATTATATGCCTCTGAATTACAGCAGGACATATAGATTAAAGAGGAATCAGATGCCTGCTGAATGGGACCTTCATTTCTGCCACATCTTGGTTTTCTTGAAAGTACTATTTTCAGACAGTTGGCTATACTAGGGCATTGTATATTTGAAATACTGTGAGGTACCTGAGTTACAGAATCACAGAATTTTCTGAGTTGGAAAGAGCCTCACAAACAGGATCAAGTCCAACTCCCGGCTGTGCACAGCATCATCCCTAAGAGTCACACCATGTACACAAGAGCATTGTCCAAACACTTTTTGAACTCTGTCAACTGCTGTGACAATTTCCATGGGGAACCTTTTCCAGTACCCAAGACTTTTCCTCTCATGAAGCTGTACTGGTGGTGATTAATGACAGCATTGTCATTCTTCTTGTCCTTCTTGAAAACTGGGACAACTTTCGTCAGTTTCCAGTCAGCTGGGACATCTCCGGATTCCCAAGACTGCCGGAAAGGCTTTGGAATAACATCAGCCAGCTCTTTGAGAATTCTCTGATGAATCTCATTAGGTTCTATAGCCTAATGTAAGGATCCACTTGGAGCAGCACATCCTGCACAATTTCAGGATTGGCTGGGAGTTGATAATTTTCAGTCATGGTCTGGGACCTTCTTGGTCTGTCAGAAGACAGAGGCAAAGAAAGCTATAAACATCTCTACTTTGTCTCTGACCTCTTTGTGAAGTGTGCTTCCTTATCCTTCAATGGATACTGTTTCTACACTTTTACCATTAATATGGTTAAAGTGCAAAAATACGCCTTTAATCATTAATAAGCTTGGGAAAAAAAAAAAAAGCTTGTTTTCCCCCGTGGTTCTGGGCAGCTTCAACTCCAACTGAGCTTTGGCTGCACAGATTTTCTCTCTGCAGTAGTGAGCAGCATCTCTGTATTCTTCCCATGTCACCTGACTTCGCTTTCACTGGGCATATACCTTACTTTTTTGCCTTACTTCCAAGATAAAATCCCTGCTCATCCAAGCCAGACTTCTGCCTCACCTGCTTGATTTCCAGCACTGGGGAATAGCCTGCTCCTGCCATAGGAGGTGATGCTTAAAAAGTGGCCAGCACAGATGACTAGAAATTAGTCTGTGATAAGGAATAGCTAAGTGAACTTCCTCTCCATAAAAGTGGAAAAAGAAAACTCAATAGAGGCCCATATGAATTCATGTCAGGAAATCTAAATTCTACGGGAGCAAGCTGTCCATCTTAAAGAATAAATTTGATTAATACATGGTGTTTTTATTGGGACAATTGTTTTCTCTGGGTCACTTTTTTCATGAACTTGTTTCCATGCTTTAAAATATTTTCTGTGGGAACTATTCAACAGTTTACATAAGTTGTAAAAGTCTCCATAACACAGTGTATAGAGATGTATACTAAAGTTTTGAAAAAAAAGTACAGTAGTAGACTGATTCATCTTTGAGACAAGGTTTTTTTGTGGTATTATATGTGTCTGCATTAAATCATTGTTTCTGTCAGTACTTCTCATGTGTACATATAAAGAAGATACATATAGGTGAGCATCTTCTGTGTAAAATTCTTGCTATTTTTGTACATCCATATCTAGAATTTTTAATACTGTTTTAGGCATCTGAAAGTAATTCCCTGAAATTCTTTTCTTTCCCGAAGACATTCAATGTTGCTAACCTGTAGTCATGATGCTATTCTCAGACATTACTCTCTACTCAGAAATGAAGGGTTTTTTGTCCTTTATTCTGTATACAGTGTTTTTGTTTGATTGGGTTTTTTTTCCACATGGTTTTGTATAGGTCAAATGTTCTTGGTGAATTCTTTTTCCTTCAGAATGTTCTGGTTTATCTCTTCAAATGCTTTTCCTGACATTTTGTAGAACATTATTATTAGTAGTAGTATTAGTATTATCATCATCATTACCATTATCATTACTGCTACTACTACTACTAGTACTACTTTATTGTATTGGAGACTGTCTTTCTTCTTGCTGAAAGGGTTTCTCAATGTGATGGTTGTCTGTCTTATAAATGTGGGATGACTCATGTTTCTGTTTTGTTCTTGTTAAAAGTAATCTGCTGGTTATAGTCTAGGTTTTACCCATGGGCTCCATTAAAACATAAGCATGAATTCCATCTGAGTTTTGTCGTTTAATGAAAACTTCTTTAGGTATTTTAACATTTCAGGTTAGGTGTAATTTTGAGTAATTCCAAAAATACACTAGTTTCATTATTTTTGATAGAACTTATCATCACTCTCTTATGTAGATGACTTTGTTTTTTGAGAATTAATCTCTTAGTATCCAAATTAATTTAGCACATTGTCCAGCACATCTTATATTGATGTTTGAAATCGTAGTAGTAGATACGTTATTTTCACAACTGAGAAGAAAATAATTTTGAAGGTAAATGATTTTAAATAATTATTTTGTGTAATTTTGAGTGACATGCCTTCTATTGCCTTATTTCTCCATGTAGTGATTGGAACAATACTGTTTATTTTAGTACATGAAATAGTATATATTGTACTGTAGAACATTACCATTCATCAAATAGAGAATTAAAATAGGTTTTCAGTAAAATACCCATTTTACTTGATCTGTGATTTGAGAATAACAGATGAGAATAATAAGCATTAGAATTTTTTCCTCAGAATTTTGAATAGCTCTGAGAAGCTGGTTTTATATATAAAAGAAATGGGTTTTGAGAAGTTATTTTGACCTATTTTGTTAAAATAGTATCTTTTAAAAATCTGTGATTTAGAAGAATTCAAGTTTATACCCTATTTTATTCTTCTCTTCCTTTTTCTGAGGAGAAATTTAACTAAGCAATGGGTATATGCACATGAGCTGTGTTGAATAAACTTAGGATCTTAAACTGGTGAATGTTAAGCACCATTTTGTTACCTTGCTAGAAATACTTTTTGTACTTTTGATAGAAGTCTAGAGTACAATTTTCTTCACGGAAACACTTAGCCACATCTTGCAATGAGACGATTAGGAAGTAAACACTGCAAACTACTTTTTTCTCAGCTGTCTTCAGTGGTTTATTCAGACTATGTAAGTTTTACTTCCGTTCTTACTATTACTTCAAAAGTACAAAAACTTTTTTCAAGGTAGTGAAATTTCAAAATGAAACTATAGCTGAAATATTTTAGTAAAAACCAGTGCTCTGGGTTGTTTGAGGCTTGGGTTTGTTTTTTTTTTTTAACTTTAGTAGCAGTTTATGTTTTGGTGACACTCTGAAGAATTGTAGAAAAAATAAAAAATCTTGAATGTTTATTATTATAATTTTTTTTTTCTTTACAGGTTTCTGCTTTGGGGTTGGATCCTTCAGGTGCTCGTTTGATAACTGGTGGATATGATTATGATGTAAAATTTTGGGATTTTGCTGGAATGGATGCCTCTCTCCAAGCTTTTCGGTCACTCCAGCCGTGTGAATGGTAGGCATGAAGGCTGCCTTTTGCACTTAATGTTTCATGCAAAGCTCCTGGTAGAATGCACAAAAGCCTTATAAGATAGCTTGTTTAAAAGGCTCTTGAATACCAAGGAATGTTAACCTAAGAACTTGTCTGCTTATTTCTTTTCCTGCTTTTTGCAGTGACTTGCATATTTTCCCCTTTTAGAAAGCTGTAGGTGCATTTGCCAATGTAATTGTAAATAGCACATCAGAAAAGGAGCCTCTCAAAGACAAGTTGACTATCGTAGTTGTAACTGACATTATTAGAATATACTTTCTATATGTATTCTGCTTATATATAACTAATTAAGAGAAGAAGCAAGTTAAAACAATTGATCCCTTTGTGGGGTGTTGCCCTGATTCTTAAGATTTTCTAAAGCCTTCTGAGATTACATTCTGTTAGAAAACTTTCTCACACAATTTTCTATAAACAACATATTGTTTTGCATTCCTTCATAGGGGTACAGAATCTTGATATACTAGTAGTTTGTCCAATGTCTTTGGAGAGGTAGCACATTCACTCTCCAATCCACTGTCACCTTTAGAAAAGTATAAAAGTTAGAGTCAGAATATAAACCCTTCTTCTTTGCCTTGCAAATAGCAGTAGCTCATGTTGTGCTTTCAGGTGTCCTATAGCAGCAGTGGGGAGCCTGTCTAGTTCCTGCCAGGATTTCTGAAGGGGAGGGTGATTTATTTAATCTTCATGATGTCCTGTGTTTCAGAAAGCACTGGTCCTTTGCATTGCAGTGTTCACTGAATAACCATGTAGTGTGAAATACTGACTTTCTTAAAGAATTTGTATTTATTTCTATGTTTCTGTTTATGCAAATTGAAAAGAAAATGCAGGAAGCATTTTAAGAGAGTTATTTCCATACTATCCCTATTGTTCACTAGTAATTTAGAAAGTAAGTAAAGTGAGTTTATTTAATTATTCCAGAGAACTGGAATACAGAACTTCTTCCACAGTAGTATACACTGAACTTTCTGAAAAATATGTCACATAAAATAAAATACAGTAGTTTTAGCAAGGTACTTTCTGATCTGGCTTATGTGGTACTGTTTATAAGGTACTTTGGTGTGATTCAAAAGGGGATTGAAATTTATTATACACAGAGTAAGTAGTACTTAGAATGTCTATTTTTAATCATTACTATCTTAAAAAGCTACAGCTGAGTTTTGGTCAGTTTGGAAGGTTAGAGTGCATATAATTGACTACAGAAGTGCCAAAAATCTAGATAATGAAAGATGAGGAGACGTTAGGACTGTTATCCATAACAGGAGCAAAATAGAAAAGGATTCTACTGTTGTTCTGAAGTCTGGAAAATCAGAAAAATAAAAAGTGTGTTTTAATGCATTATGCAGTTCCAATCTCTTTTACAGACCTTGACTTCTTGTAATAAGTTGACACATTTTACATTTACTTTGAAAACATGCCACTTAAGAATAAATAAATAAATAAATAAATAAATAAATAAATGTTTTCACATGTGAAGTGACATTCAGACTTTTCTGGCATGAGTTTCATTTAGATGATTAGTTAGCAGGATATAATTGGTATTGTCCTTCCTCTGGCCTAACTGAGCAGAAAAAGATGACAGTCTTTCCTTCCACAGTAGAAAATTATTTTAATGAAGCATTTTCAAGTTTAGCATAGGAGTGCATTCAAATTTAGTAGTACTTGCTAATAATGGTGTAAAACATAAATATTGTATAAAAACCACAAGTAGGCTATATGTTAATGTTCTATTTCAGGGATAGTTTGCAGATTAATTGGTAAGGTCCTTTTAGGAAAAAACTAATGGTAAAATATGCACTTAAAATACTTGTTATAAGTATTACTACAATAATACTTATTATTTTATATAAATGTTCTTGGTGAAATTATTGTGATTTGGATACCTTAATGTATAAATAAAGTAGTAAAAATATAAACATAAAGTAATATTAAAAATAGACTTGACTAGTGTGATGTTTGGAAATTACACTTATGATGCAAGTCTCAAGAACTAATTTTGGGGGTTTAAAAAAGTTATTCGAATATAACTTCTGTATCTTTTTCTAAACATAAAACTGGAACTGTATATCTCTCTGGTAAAAAGATTCAACTTCAAGTTCTTTTATGCTGACATTGAGACAAGCTGGTGAATACTTTGTGGAATATTATATAACTTGTGTCCAGGTGTATATATGTTCTTATATTACTTTTTTCACTATGAAGTTTATTATTGAAGGACTATTAGCATTCACAGACTTGAATTTCAAAGAATTCTGAGGAGTTCTGGTATGGAAACATTAGGTGTTAGCAGAAATCCAGATCTGAAGCAATAAATTTAATTTCATTTTAAAAATGAAGGAGCCTGAGATCAATTCTGTATTGTCAAGGCTCCATTTTGTAGCATAATATCAAGTTACTCTGTTAATTTCTCCTTGGATTTGTGATGTAAAGTTAAGAAAAACAGCCTGACACAAAGCTAGTATTTTCAAGCCATACCTTGGTGTTGAAGCCAAAAGCAAGTGTTAGGCAAAGTTGTTATGTAGAAAATATTCGTGTGTCATGATTCTACCCATGTATAGCTCTGTTTTGCAGGTCCTGGTATAAAGTACTGTGCACATTTGGCAGTTTTAAACCAAAATGACTCAGATTAATGCTATTAACAGGAATTGTTTTTATAAGTTTCCCAAGACTTTTGCTATAGCATTAATAAGAATCAAAAATATTTTCTTAAAGAACTGCCTTTGCAAAGCCTCACTTTCGGCCATGTTCCAGTAAATATCAGAAAAGTGGTAACTTCAGGGACTTTGCAAATACTCTACTTATAGAAGTAATTTTTGAGACATGATTTTAAAAATCACATTTCACAGTCAAGAAGGTATGGGTTTGAGACTTTTTTCTTTAGGTAAAGCTTATGGAAATCTTTTCTCTAAAGCTAATGTTTTCACATGACTGATCTGATAAATTATTGGTTATGTTCCATTGTGCTAGTTGCTGTAAAATCAGTTGCTTTTCCTTACTGGGAGAAATTTTAAGACAGAAGAAAACTTTGTTCAGGCATGCTGATACAGAACTACTAAGAAGCAATGAGATGACATTGTTTGAATTAAGAACAGTGTGGTGTTAATAGTATTAGTACCTGCAGTTTGATTTTCAGTATTTTTGTGTCTGAAAATAGGTTTTTTTTTCAGAAGACCCTATGGGCCTTTATATATTGTGGATTCTTTCAGAAATCAGATTTTACTTCTGAGCTGCGTGTTATTACCTAGTGGCCAGATCCTTTTCATGCATGAGACATGCATCAAGTGAAAACACATTTTAGTCTTGTTTTTAAATGTTTAATTTTTATTCTTACATTTCAACAGTTATAAGTGCAAAATATGAGCCTGTGCTTTGGAAGTGTTGGCTGTTTTCTTTTGCCAATTTCAGCATTAGAGTATGAGAAATATAACCCAGTAAGTACTTCATTCTGTATACAGTACTCAGATGGGGCTCAGGAATATTTTGTAGGAATCATATGATTGGACAAGATAATTTGGAAGTACAACTGAGAAAAAAAATTTAATTCCTAGGGTGTTTATTCTGCAAAATCTGAATCGGATGTATTCTTTAGTCTAGGTTTGTCAGCTGCCTGGAGAGAATATTCTAGCTTTAGATATTATTTCTCTTGTGAGTTTCCTGTAATTTCTTATAGTGTTTCCTCTGAGTTTAATGTAGCTGGCCATCTTCTTTTCTGAGAAAGTATTAATTTTTGCTCTTGAGAATCAGAATGTTTATTAAGATATTGACTGTGTTGTATTTTGGAAATTTTCAGATTTGAATGTCTCCTTTCTATTAAAGATCAGCTTATAATATTCAGTCCAATTTGGCTGCCAGTTGGTATTACATAATAGGGTGCTTGAAGCAATTTTTAGCTTTTTAATTGTAATGTAATCAGTTTTTCCAAACGTTTTTCAATAAGAAATTTAAGCTTAGTTTACATTACTATGATCAATGCAGAACTTTTAAAGTAAGTATTACAATATTTTAAGTGTTTCATGTAGTAACTCATGGTTTGAGGACAGATTTTACAGATAATAGCTACCGCTGAGAAAATTACATGAAGTCACTACTGTATAAGAACTGAAATGGTTAAGTTATAAGTTGCACAGTTGGCTTTTTTGGTCATCTGAGTGTTAACTTCACTAATGGGAACTAATGTTAAAAAGTAGTTTCTTGAAAGGTGCTAGGATTTGAATGCACATAGTAATGTTCTTAAGCAATGGGAAGATATTTCTTCGTGAATACTTTGGATGCAATGAAAATCCAAATCTAGCTGGCAAATGTGTTCTGGTCCTGTACTTGAGATTAAGCTAGAGGCAGAGGTGAAGTATTAATATAATGTTACTGTGCACGTTCTATTAATGTGCTGGGATATAAATTCTGGAAGGTGTGAAGTGGATAGACTGCTTTACATTCTTTGCTATCCTTTTAATAAATTATAGGGGATCAAAGATATCTGCTTCAGATACAGCAAGAGCTGTGAAATTTGTTCATAATGCAAAATGCTGAGAGAATATGCTGAAGCTGGAATTGGGCTTTTCATTCATCAATCAGCTTTGCACTTGCAATTCATCTTCGTCATCTCAATATTATTACTCCATGGTTTCTGCCGCAGATTTTATTAATCAATGGAACATGTATGTGAGAACACTGTTAAAACAAATAAACAGTTACGTAGACATAGTAAACTAGACCAATGGTTATCTATTGTCATGTTTCCAGGACTGATTGTATTATTTAACTTTGTCTTAAAGTTTTATGAAATTAAAACCCTAACCATAAAAAAAGATGCAAGAATGCTGACCTGTGACTAATATCCTAGTATGTGAGGTACAGTGAAGTTTTATGTATGATTACAACATGCTTTTATAGTAATTTACAGATTACTGTAATTCTACATTTTACTTTTGGGAAGATGAGAAAGAATTTTCATCTCTAGGTAATTAAATCTGACACATACTATTTTTCCATTGGAGTTAAAATAGCATTCTTAAAGAAATATGTTTGCCAGAAATGACATTTTACGTGTTTGATAAGTTATGTGTGGTTAAAAGAAACATGTCACATATATGCACACAGAGAGTGGAATAAAAAACTTCATTCCATTAGTAAAAGATTTTCTGTCCCCTGCCTCTTTGGTATAGGAGTGTATATAGGTCTGTTTCTCACCATTGACACTTTTGTTTTCATGTAAGTTTACAGGAACGTTAATTGAATTTTTTTTTTTTTTTTAAACTTTCTTTACAGTCACCAAATCAAGTCTTTACAGTATAGCAGCACAGGAGATGTTATTCTGGTTGTCTCTGGTAACTCTCAGGCAAAAGTTCTTGACAGAGATGGTTTCCCAGTAATGGAATGCATAAAGGGAGACCAGTACATCGTGGATATGACAAACACAAAGGTAAAGTCAGGGGCTGGAGGTTTCAAGGCAGGGGCTGGAGGTTGTTTCCTTGCATGGTGTGAGTGTAAGACTAATAAGCAAAATTGTGTATATTTTTAATGGTAGTTAAAAATGCAAATGAAGAAGGGTTCATTCATAGTTCTGAAGTGCTTCAACCACAGTTGGTTGTGTTTTGACCACTTTGCTTGCCCTTGCATTTTCACAAACTCTGACACAATGCTTCTATTTGCCTAGATGATTTAAATTTAGGTCAGTTTTTAAAATAGCTTAAAACTAAAAAGTAATGATAAAATCTGAAGCTCAGACCAATGATAAAATTGATTTACTTATTTCTTGTAAAGTATGTTGCCAAATAACTAAGCTAAATGCTGTTTTGCCTAAAGCTGTTCTTGTCAGATGACTATTTCTTTTGGCTGGTGATACATATATAAAACCATCAAATAACATCTGCTTTAGTTCTAGTTTGCTTAAAAATAATTTAGATTTTCTTTCTCTTGTAAATGTCTAGAATTCCAGTATACTGTAGTCCAACAGTCAAAATGCTAAAATATTAGTTATATTGCCTCATTACCTTTTTAGTATTTCTCTCCTTATTTGTGCTTAAAACAAACTGAAGTCATTGCAGCATTGCAGGAGTAGTTTCCAAATTTTTCTTTGAACATAGTCAATGAGCATGTGCCTGTATTTCAAAGAAGTAAAGCCAACTGGACAATATATAGTCCAGTAATGTAGTTATGTTCATAGTCATCATAATGGCAGTTGCTTACTTTGCATAAAACATTCACCTTCTGGTTTTTTGTCTTAAAGGAAAACAACTGGCTAGTCAATTTGCAACTTCAGTATTTTATGAAAAACTCATCTGAGGTTGAACCCCTCTTGATTCTAAAATTCTTTTTCCTCAGTTTTCTCCAACAGGATCTTTGTCTAGTGTAGATTGACATTGGTGTATTGTGCCACCCTGGTTGTTACCGTTAATTCTGTTATTCTTCTGTAGCTTGAAAAAGTTTGAGTGACACTGTAGTGATGCCTGTTGTTTCATCCTTTCTTTGCATTACAATTCTCTCAAGAGAAAAAGAAGTCTGATTTGATGCTATATGCTGAAAGAAAACAAACAAACAAACAAAAAAAAAACAGTAGAAGAATGTCAGGATTTTTCTAATTCAGAGATGAAAACAAGCAAGGATGGATAGAGTACATACAATCTGTTAAATCATCCTGATGTCAGTCAGACGGGTACAAATTTGTGCCTCAGCTTTCATGTGATTCCACTTGAAGGATTTGGAGTAAAAGTTGTAAAAATTTTGTGATAGCTTACAAGTCCCTGTAAGACCTCTGTGTTTATTTCTTTAGGGTCACACAGCAATGCTCAATTCAGGCTGCTGGCATCCGAAGATAAAGGAAGAATTTTTGACATGTTCTAATGATGGGTAAGTATTGAGATCTATCTTTGACACAGTTTTTTGAAAGGCTTGTTTAGCTCTTGTGTTTTACTGTGCCTTAATTTGCTTTAAATATCATTCTTTCTAATCTTTAGTAACTACTTAATATAGTGAGATCTGGAAGCAAATATTATATTTGTTTTGCCTCTAGATAATAAATGTATTTTGTTTGTATTATTTTAGTTCTTTACCCAGTATTCCTTTGGAGTAGAATAGTTCCTGTGGATAAACTCAATGTAACTGAATTCAGTAGGACAATTGAGAATTTAAATTGGAAGTTTCACTTCATGTGTAACTTAATATTAATGGATGTTGTTTGACAAGTGTCAAAGAGACTGTTAGATTTTTTTTTTGTGGCTTCAGTCTTGATCTTTGCCATTTGATTCTAATAATTTGATTAGAATCAAATGGCAAAAATTTCACTTGGCATCTGCATTAATTAAGTTACTGCTGCTGTCAATAGCAGGTTCATAAATGATTTTTTTACTGATGTTTCAAATATGCAATATCCTTTACTCTAGAGTGACAGTAAGGATTGATTTTCCCTACTAATGTATCTGTAGAGTGGTCCGTTGTAAAAAGAAGACTTCAGTTACCAATTACTTTAAACAACATGGTTTGTTTTCTTTTTCCCCTAAAAGGGACTGACTTCCTGGTTTAACACATGGCTACATAAAAATATTATTTTAGGGGAAAATGTACAGTTTCTGATAAGACCGTGTCAGAAGGAGAAAAGCCTGAATGCTACATTGTGCTTTATGAAGAAATTAAGTTTTAAAAATGCACTTAAGCAAACTGTATTGTTCCAGATTTTAGGCACAGAGGTACTACTTCCATAATAGGAATTATTATTAAATGTTAGAATTAGTACTTTAGACAGTTTGTTTGTATTTTGAATGTAGTTAGACATTAGCAGGGTTTCTTTATTAGGTTGATGACTTTGTGGATACTGAAAAACAAATTAAGATACTATAAATGTTGAAGATAGTCTGATTTTTCTCCTGTCTTATCAAGTCCACTAACTGATGTACCAAAAATGCAGTTAGTGCATTCCTGATACTTGAATTGCTGTGAATTAAAATGGTCTGGACAAGTAAGAGAAAACCAGATAAATGCAACTATAAATGGCTGTATAATTGCATTTTCACAGACACTACTTGGCTGACATTAGAAGAAAAGTATTTCAAACTGATTGCATTTTGCCTCATGTTAGTGACAGGTTTTTCCAGGATTTGGATATGTCCTGTGAAACAAACAATTTGTATTGCTTAATTTGCCCCATTGGGCTTGAATGTAGTATTCTGTGTCTGTGAAGTTTAATAATACCAGAAACTAAAATGTCTCCAAAGTTTAATGAGTATTTCATCATACGGAGCTGTGATTCGTCGATTGGAGCTGTGAATGGGAATTGAAAAGAATAGTTCCTGTGGAAGGGACCTCAGTGGTCATCCGATTGTCTGACCAGTTCAGAACTGTCCAGAAGTTAAAGCTGTTGTTGAGGAAATTGACCAATAAATCATATCTCCAGGAAGCCTGTGTAGGTCTGGGACCACCTTATGAATAAAGAAATGCCTCCTAGTGTCCTGTCTGAACTTGCCCTGGCACAGCTCTGAACCATTCCCATCCCTGTCCCTGGATGCCAGGGAGAAGAGCTCAGCACATCCCTGTGCCCTTCCCCTCCTCATGAAGCTGTGGAGAGCAGTGAGGTCAAACCTCAGCCTCCTTTTCTCCAAAGGGAACAAGCCCAAATACTTCAGGTGCTCCTCACAGAAGGTTCCAGCTCTGTTTGCCTCCTCAGGATGCACAGAAGGACCTTCCCATCCTTCTCCACCCGCAGGGCCCAGCAGGCCCCAGGTGAGGCCATCCCAAGGCTGAGCCCAGGAGGACCATCCCCTCTCCGGGCTGTGCTCGGTACTCTGGGATGGGGTTTGTTGGGATGGGGTTTGTCCTCGGGACTGCCTGGGCACTGCTGACCCACAGCAAGCCTACAGAACTAAAAAGGCTGAGTAGGGAAGGTCATCTGATCATGGCAATACCAGCTCAGCTTCAAAAACATAATCAATTCAAAGAGATAAATGAAAGCCTTCATGTTATTTTCATTAACCATGTTGGGTGAAGGTGAGTTGAGTTAGTGAGTAGCACACTTTTGCAAATATAGGTTCCATTAGTAAATTAGGAGCACAAGTCCAGTGAGGAGCAGCTGAGAGAACCAGACTTAAGCCTGGAGAAGAAGAGGCACGGGGTGGGGGGGACCTTAACACTCTCTACAATGCCCTGAAAGGAGGGTGTGACCAGGTGCCAGTCTGTCTCTTCTCCTTCTCAAGAGACAGGGCAAGAGGAAATGGGCCTCAAGTTGTACCAAGGTAGGTTTAGTTGGAAATTAGAAAAAAATTCTTAATGAAAGAGTGATCAGGCATTGGAACAGGCTGCCCAGGGGAAGGGGTGGAATTACCATTCCTGGAAGTGATTAGGTATATGTATTTGTGGGGTATCTGGCAGTTTTAGGTTAATGGTTGAACTCAATGATCTTCAGCATCTTTTCTAACTTTAATGATTCTAATTTACAACAGTTGCTGGAATTACACCAGCTATTTTAACCAATGTCATGTGAGTTGCTGACTTCTCTTTGGTAGTAATTTTTGAATCAGGAAAAATACCTTCTGTAAGATTGCTTTGATACAGTATTCTCAGAGATTTTATATATTTTATTTATTGATATATTTATTTAGATATTATATAATATATATTTATTTATATATTATAGTTTCTATTTTATATAGAAGTAATATTAGAGTACTTATGTGTCAAGGCAGAGAGTTTAAATCTCAAGAAAGAAATGGTCTGTGTCAGCAGATATAATAGAAACTTTTAGTGGTTTATGCTTAAAGGAAACAGGTTTTCTGAATTTTGAGTAAATTCAATTTGTACCAAGCATTCTAGAAACCAGATTTTTTCATTTAATATTGTTTTTTCAACATTTTGCATAGAATGAATTATGGATGTCATTAAATGTTACAACTGTATCTATCTGTCATGCTAACTTTTTTATATTAATTCCAGTATTTATATTTGACCCTTAGGTGTTGAGGAACAGTATTTCTTGAATTTGTAAAGCTGACTTTTCTGTTCAAGGCAACAGATTTGCACTTAGTGAAATACTGGCTGAAATATGAAACTGTTGAAGAGTCTGTGTAAAAACATGGTTTATGTTACATGCCAAGAAAACAATAATAATTATAAGAAAACTTGAACTTTGAAGATTATGGGCTTCTCAGGTCAGACCAAAAGACTGGCAGTCTTTATTCTAGGGAAGAGAGGTCTAAGTAGAGGAGTATGTGATCAAAGTTTGTCCAAGATGGTAGGTGAGCTGAATCTGGAACTGTTGTTTTGGAAAACCTCTTCCAAATTAAAAGGTATTTATTGAAAATGGGTATAGTTAGGTTTAGAACTAATAAAAAAAAAAGAAAATTGTGTGCTGCTCAGATTTATTCTGGAATGTGTTTTCACAGGAGGACATGGAGGCAAGTTTAAAAAGGGATAAGAAAATTCATGTTTAGAAGCACTCATAAACAGATAGGAAGTGCAATAGGCATTATAATACCTTCTATATGACAGCTGTGGATAGTAAGATGAAATGAAGGGAATTAATTGTAATGACCAGACTCTGAATACAGGGCTAAATTAACCTATGATCAGATGTAGCCAGATGTTTCTTATAGCTTTATGTTATTCAGTGACAATAAATAATTAAGATGTAATTTCATGCTGTATTACTGTTGAAAATGTAGTGAGTGGATTTTCAAGGTACAATACTTTTGCAATGATTTTATATCTGGAGTTGTGTTGTGTTCGTGTGAATAAGCTAACTGTTTGTAAGGTCTTCTCTCAAGCAAGATGGTGAGACAAAGCCCAGTCTAGCTTTATGTGGCTCTGGTATATAGAAATTTTTGATATGAATGTTTATAGTTTTAAACAAAAAAAATTAGAATGAAATCTCCCAGTCCTGAAACACTCTTTTTACAAGGCAGGCAACCTGTCTGTACCCAGTTTTTACATTCTTGACATTATGCATTAATGTGCTTTGATGTTCATAGACCTTGACATATTACACTCTCACATAATTTAACAAGACCATCTAGACCCATAAGAGGAGAAATGAAAAGCTTTAGAATATTGCATATAAGATGAAAAGGTGCAAGTGTCTACTCTTTGTATTTTATCCTGAGAGTGCACTGCTGATCTTGTATACAGCGAAGACAAGCTCTGCCATAGATTCCTATTAGTTTTGTCCTAAAAATTTTATTAGACATTGATGTAAGAATAAATTACCTTAAGTAACAGTGACTGCTCTGGAACTTTTAAGAGGAAATATTGATGCTATGTGTGTATCTACAAGTTGCAATCTAATCCTCACATTAAGAAGAGGAACTGCCACAACCTGCACGTGTGGAGGAGTATACACCTGACAATAAGCACCAAAAAGGGACCCTTTAGAGGGTCATCCTGTAGGATGTGGGAAGATGATACCAGGGATGTGCTTAACAGCTATGAAGGAAAGCTGAACATCTTTTTTTTTTGCTGGTTTTAACCTGTGTTGGACATCACACAGAACAGTAAAGCAGTTGTCTCTTAAACAAAGACTTCTCTACTCACAGGATGAGTATTTCTATGGGAGAGGTTCTGTGTACTCCAAACTGGGTTGCCAGAGCATGGTTGCCAGAACCACTTGCCAAAATCAGTTTTTTTGAAGATGCTTGCGAGAAAAGATTTAAGGGTTTTCAATAATACTCCAGGAGTTTGGAAGGTGCTGAAAATAATGGTTGAAGCATGTGAAGCATGTGTGTCCTTGGGACACACTAAATGGCAAGGTTTGAGGCTGAGGGAGGACACAGGAGAGCACATGAGGGATGTCAATGTACTATTAGACCCTAATTCTTTGTTGTATGGCTCTAGATAGCATTTATACTTCCTCTAGAGAAAACAGTCATTCATAAAGAAAATAAATGAGTATTTGCAAATTGTAGACTGTATTTTATCTGATTCCTGGAGCATTTACACTGTCTGTCTCTTTAGCTGAAAGGTTGCCACTTGCAAGTAAGGAAAGAAAATGGTATTTTCTGGGTGGCATGTTGAAACAGGTGTTTTCATGATGCATAAAGAAATTAAAAAGCAAAATTTGCAAGTGGCCTTGTGTCAAATGAAAATAACACATTTTAAATATGTGTTAAGTAAATGCTTTTCAAATATTTTAAATCCATATTTCTTTTGATATTAACCTGCTATAGCGCAAATACTCACTTAGGGATAGTCTTTATATATATGTGACAGTTTCTTTTGATTTCAGGTAACTAAGAGCGTAGTAGTAGTCTGAATTAAACAGTAATTCAAATGAAGGCTCTTAGAATTGCTATTGTAAATGAAATATTTTGAGAGGTGATGTGTTTCTTATACATGGGTGACTTATGCATGGCATATGTCACCCATGTATAATATGCATATGCTATACATTTTAAAAAATTCTATAAGTAGGTTTTGATGATAATATATTCCAATGTGCAGTTATTAGGCTATTTGTAAATTTATTACTTCAGACTGCAGATATACGGGTTACCAGCAGGGAGTCTCAGTGAGTTTTGTATCACTGTTCAAGGACACAATGTTGAACGCAGGAAAAACTACACAAGAAAATGACATAGTTCCATCAGACTCCTATATGAGAGAAACAGAAGCTGGTCAGCTGGCACACTGAAATGGGCCACAGCCTGGACACAACAGTTATGTAATAGGTCTGAAAAGTCCTCTTAACTTGTATAAGTTCTTGCCCACTTATGCAATTGTTTGTAGATGCATACAAATCTCAGTAGCTCACTTAATTTTATTTTCCTTGAAAATATTCCAGATGATGGCTTGTGGAAACATGTAATACTATACTCTTTCCTTTTTTTTCAAGTTATGGCCGGGGTATTTTGTTGGTGGATTTTTTTTTTTTTTTTGGTCTTAGTTTTAAATAAGTAATTTCATTATTGTGGGATTACAGAGGAACAATAATACTTTGGGGCTTTTACAGGTTGTTAAGCATTTACTGGCTTTTAATTGCAAAAGGACGTAAGAAAGTTGTCAGTTCTGTCAGTACGTTGGTAGTTAACTGTAAGTATATGAATGAATAACACTAGCCTAGAGACTTAGCTAAAGCAGGTGTTTATTTGAGTCTGTTTTTTTTAACTAGAATAAATGTTGTGCGTTGATTCTCATATATGGGAATTCTGATATTCTCAGTGCTTCAACTTCCCAATATTTCATGCGATTAGAGCAAAATTGTATTAAAAGAAAAGACAAACATAGAAAAGCAATTATCCTCTCTGTGGAACTGCAGTAATTTTCAAGTTTGCATTACAGATAATTTCAATTTTAATGAATTTCAGACTAAGTAATTAATTTATATCAACCTTTCACTGTTTTAAAAGTATATAAACAAAGCTTTCATCAGAATTGATATTGTGCTATTTTCTTGCACAAGCTATGTTTTTTCATTTATGGCTGTATGTTGCCTAGAACTTTAAATATGCCACAACTGTTCCTGAATGATCACTCCCATTCCATTGCATGTACTCCTTGCCATTCTAGATAAGGTTGAGGTACAGTGTGTGATCAACACTATCTTTGTCTTTCTTGTAGATCCTTTGCCACATTATTTGGCATATTTGGAAAATACAGTTATTAAGTCAAGGCTCTTACATGTTATCAGCAGTATATTGAATGAATGTACTGAACAGCATAAATATTGATAGTAACAGAAATTCCAACATTAATACATTACCTAAAAGTGAAAAAAAGTTTGGGAATTTAGGAAGTCTTTAAAAAGTTTTATATTCTCTGGAAATACACCTGAGCAGAATGATCTTTAAAAATACCCTGTGTTTTAAGATATAACTAAGTCTTTGTTTATATTATTCCAAAATATCAGTTGATGTCTATGTAATAACAAAGAAGGAAGAGGAAACGGATAATGTTGTTTTTGTTATTTGGATGTTTTCTTATCACAAATGTGATAGGTAGTGCTGGAAGAATAACTAAGAGAGGTCAGTGATGTAAAATGTTCCAGCAACAGGTGTTCTGTGTCCCTACTCTCGTATGTTCTTTTCCTTTTAGAAGCAGAATCGCAGCCAAACTTGAAATTTAGCAGTTGTGAACTTTATGATCTGTCATTGCAGCTTGGGTTATGGTTGATTAACAGCTGGTTTACTGTTTTAGCATTTCTCTAACAAGTCTTTCCTCTCTCATCCTTTAGTAAGGTTAATTTAATTCTACTCTCTAAAAGTTATCCTAGAGAGTATTTAATGACATCACAAACTGACCTCTATGATAAGGGGACAAGTGCAGATCCATCTCTTGTTATTTCAGTGAAGTAGCTTCAAATCTTCAAAAACAGAATTTTGCATTTAAGTCACAATTGAATTCTTAGTCTTTTGTCAAATGCATGTTTCAAATATGAAGTTACTCTGCTCTATGGAATGTGGTTTTTAACTTTTGTTTTAACCATACACTGTTGCTTAGTAAATATTATCTGTGTCATTTTTGTAATTTTAAGCAGCCAAATACAGTTAATGAAGGATGAGTAGTTTGCATAACATGTATCTGCTGTTTGCAACCAGTGCCGTTCAGATGATTTTTCTCTCCCTTAGGATGTCTGTTATGTCCTAGACAATAATAGGGACTTATGAAATCTGCAGTGTCTTAGTGAACACTGCTGTTTCATGATTACTTTTATCTTAACTTACCTTTCAGTTTTCATATGTTAGCTATTTTCATCCTGTTAACTAGATTTGCATCAGAATGCCTGCTGTCTCATCTTCATTAGCTGCCTTGTTTCAGTCTCTTTAGGTGGGAGCTATCAGTGTATGACTTCTCTATCACAACAACTGTTTTCTAGCTTTTTATTAGGCTCAGAACTGCATTGAACCCAGTAATTTGACAGGAAAGAGGTTTGAGCAGGTCTGGAATAGCACTGCTGAAAATGGCCAGCAGTCACTTTCACTGCCCGTGGATCAGTTATTCTTACAATGCTGTTCAGCATGTCTTGAACTTCAGCTCAGTTTTGCTTTAATTGAAATCTGTGTCCCATATACTTAAGAGCCAAGTCACCTATTATAGACCATATACTTAAAATGTTCTCAGGAGAGCACAAGATCTGGTATCTGCAGCCTGCTTGGTTGTGCACTGTGAAGAATAGATCCACTGGCTGTGAAGATAGGATTATATGGCATTTCTTCTTAGATATATAGATTCTAAGCTTCAGGTTATGCACTGTCTGCTTACTTCAGGTTGACAGCAGCTGAGCCTAAGCTGCTTACACTTGAAGTGAATTCAGCCCTGGAGTTTGTTGAACACTCCTAGGGCTTGAAACAGCATTATTGACAACTCGAGAACTTAAGCTATAATTTTACTTTTCTTTAATGTTTTTACATATCAGGAATACCATGCATATGAAAACATAGTTGAGAGCTAAATTTGGACTTGTGTAGTTTAGTGTAAGTGTAGTTATATTGTCTTGCTGAATTGTAGAATTTATAAATTTTTCTAAATAATGCATTTGAAGAAATACAGTGATAAAGCTTGTTACATAGACTGTCCTTGTTTTGTTTAAAAGCGCCAAAGTACAACATTGAAGTAGGCTTTGAGTAAATATTAATAGTCCTAACACATTCAGTGTTTGAAACATTTTATATGTAATAAATACAGTTAACACTGATCCATCTGCAGCTTTGAAACCTACTGACAACAGTAAGATAGCCATGCCAGGGCTGCTACCAAGACATTTGTAAAAATGTTTGTTACAACCTAAGCTTCAACACTGCATCTGTCTTCACAGATTTGAAGGTGAGTTGGAAAAAACATACTTGAAAATAATTACTGATGTTTTACATTCATCTGGGGAATCATTAAAAATTTTTTAATTGCTGTCTTAGGCTTTGCTTACACTTTTTAGATATATTTCTTAAAACAACCTGTATGTTATAGAGAGTGGGGCATGTTTTGGGGTCTGAAGTACCTACTCACCAAAAAGATCACCCTGAATCATATCTAGTTGCATCATACTATTTTATAGGTTAGGAAATACAAGTGACATTATGGTCAAACAACTGAATTTACCAGAGGGATAGTATAACTTGGACTCCTGTCTTAGAAAAAGAAATAACTCTTGCCAAGTTGTTTCAAACACATGTATTTGTAGCTGTGTATACACATATACATTCATATACTATGCCGTATTCCATGTTGAAAGAGAAATAATGAAGTTTGAAAATTTTTTTTTAAGATTTTTATGAGATGCTTTTATTCTCAGTACAATATTACAGTTTAGGAAAATTTTCAGAATTAATTTAGAACATAGAGGAATACAGTTCTGTCATCTGATTTATTTTTAGTTTTGCCAAGGTAAAGTTTTTTACTACAGCAAGAAACTTGAAAGTATTTTTGTGTGTCAGATGAAAGTACATGTTAAAAAATTGGTTGATTTATCTGACAATCACAGAATTTAAGTATTCACAGTAGCTCAGTACTTCCTGAAGAGTTTTACCGTGCAGTGAGTAGAGCAAGAAGGGACAATCTTTTTAAAGGCTTTAGCTAGGCAATTGCAATGTTCTTAGCTTAGGATAGGAAGGCAGAAGTTTTGGTGTGTAAATTTGCTTCTTTTATCCCAGAGCACACAGTAGTTAACTTCTTACCTGTATTGTGCTCTACTTGGTTCATATGGATAAGCTTCCCTGAAACTTGTTTCCTAACCCCTTTCAGTCAGACTGGAAAAGATTTTCTCTTACATCGTCTCTGGTCCTGCCTCACCTTGACTGAGAAAAGGTAATACTTTTGTGCAATTCTGTTAGCTGCTCTGTGGGATTACTTCTGGCAGAACAGAAATGATGGGAAACTGGAAGTATTAGTATTTCTATCAGGTCAGCTTAATTTCAGATAGGGAAGAAGATGGTAATTTGCCGTTTGAGGAATTGATGGGAATTTTTCCATGGTTTAGGGTCATTTGTTGCGCAAATACTTCCATTGTGGTGACTTTGTTCCACAGATACCTTTCACTGGCAATTTCCTCTCCTGTCTTCTCCTAAAAAATGTATTATGTCTTTATTTTATGAAGATGGAATCTTTTCTTCTCATGTATTCAATGATAATTTTAACCTATAACTAACTCAGTTTAAAGGGCTATTTTCTCATGAGATATGCATCTTATTCAAATGACCAGAATTTTTGATTATTCTAGTACTAATGGGAAGTACAACAGACTTAGTAAACTAAATTAGAATGTTTTTGTTTGATAGTAAGGAAGTGAAGTAGAGTAGACAAGGATTTATTTTGGCACATTTCCTTACAAAGATAAAATATGTATTATATCTAAGAAAATAAAATTAAATTGCAATGATTAATGTACAAATCTGATTCTGTATTAAAGCTACACAGTAATGACTAATGATACTTGATATCCTATAGATCAAAACTCTATGAAAATATTTGCTTTGTGATTTTTGACATTTGGAATTGCAGGTAATTTCATTGTTTGAGTAATGAAATTTTAAGTTGTTTCTCTTATCAGTGTCCTCATGTTATATAAATACATGTTTTAGTTAAAATTCCACTGCTAAGTTGCTTGTTTAGAAATGTATGTTGGGTGGTTTTCATTTTTCATGGAACAGCATGAAGCTACATTTGTTAGCTAATAGTGGTTTCAAAGGTGCATGGTTTCACTGGAAGATGATGAAATCTTGAAAAGTTTCCAGTTCAGAAATTTCTGTGTAAGGCAAATAAATCCCATTTCACAAGTGAGATAGAATATAATGGAAATTATGTATGGGATTTTGTGAAATAAGTTTCTCTTGTTTATTTATTAGAAACTTTTATAAATTTTTGTACAGCATCCATTAGTAACTTATTAGCAGTAAATTACATTCCAAAATCTGTTGAAGTTTTTTCTGTTAATTTCAGTGAGTTTTGTTTCTGCCTTGTAAAGGATTAATCTTGTAAATACATGTGAGACATTTTCATCTATCAACTGGGCTAGCTAATAGGAAGACATTTAAAACTGATAATCTGAAATAATCAAAACAACATGTTTCTAATGCAATTTCATAAGACTGAACTATTGCTTCAAAATGGCTATATTTCTATAAATTATTCTAATTAGAGCAGATTTTATCAGAGAAAGTGTGAATATTTCTAGCAAAACCTGAACACTAAGTGTTAGCCACTGACTCAGAGTAGATTGGTTAGTGAGCTGGTTAGTGTTAGAAAACTAGAGCGTGGGAAATCATATACAGAGAGTAATGTTAACCTGAAAATTATGGAGGATTAATTACATATAAGCTTTTAGTATGAGGCTGTGGAAAAGCAGATCCTGTAAAAATGTGTGCACACACAGAGAATGAACTTCTACTAATGGCATTGGTAAAGGAGATGGTGTTAATGTTCTTTTTCAGCAATACCCATTGAGTTCTGTGTCTAGTTACAATGACAGCAGTCTAAAAAGAATGGTAAAAGACATAGAAAAGAAAAGTGTCAGAGATTTATGCAGAAACTTCAGCTAATTCAAGAATATTCAGGAAGCTGAGAACATTTCAGTTTATTGAATAGGATATTAAGAGACTTGGCAATAGCAAAAAAAAAAAAAACAAAAACAAACTGAAACAGAGATAAAATTTCCAACATTTGAAAAGTTTTTAAATTGTTAAAGATGTAAGTCGACCCAGTAATTGAAAGCTAGCAAGATTTGTCTAGAAGAAAGTATTTCTTTGTAATCAGATGTATTATGTGACTGTGGAACGGATTATTACGGAAGAAATGCAGTAAATTCTTTACCAGTTGTAGCTTTCACACAGAAATTGTGGATGAAATTTCTCTTTCAATCATCAGACAAACCCTTAAATACATTTAATCAATCTGAGATTGGAAAAGGCTGGGGATTCTCAGTGATTAAAAACTGTTAATATGATTTAGCTTTGTATAGATAAAGGCTTGGTATTGAGCTGTGAGTATCTGTTAAATGTACTCAATTTTTGAGGATAGGAAGAAATCTATACATGGTCCTTCTGAGGATGGCAGAACTGTCCAGGTGGAGCTGAGGAAGGATATGTATCTAGTTGTTGTTACCGTAGCACATTAGTTGCAAGACTTCATTCCTGTTTTAGTTGAGTGTTTTTTCTCCAAAATCAGTCTACTTTCACAGTTTTATCAACCAATTTCTCATTGACCTTTTAGCTCACCCCTTCTCTTCTGTCTCCAAATCATTCCCCAGTAGATAATTTTGCAGTTGTTTTGTGGCAATAGTGTAAATTTTTAAGCTAATATTGTCATTCAGATACTTTCTAATAAAGATTTATATTAATTGCATTTCTCTTGAGAGGGATTAGTTTGGTTTCCTAAATATTTCTTCTCCTTGAAATCTTTCCAGGCATGTGATTTGTGAAATCTTCAGTTTGCTAGGACATAAAACATATTCTGATATTCTTCAGTTTAGCTCATTAATGGTAGTGGAAACTTCTGGTCAGCTAATATCTACAATTAAGATCCACATTCACTGCTGTCTGTATAATTTAGAACGTGCTGGCAAACATTTCAGTCTCCTGAGGATGAACTTTTGGTGAGATAAGATGCAGATCTTCCTTTGTCATTATAAACTTACTAGACCATATACATTCTTCCTTCAAAATAAATAATTTACTTACACTCCTGTGTAGCTTTCTTTCTTCTGGTGTGTAATTCACAGTGAATTAAATGAATAGCAGAATATCAATTACTGAAAAGTTTCAGAGATAAAAAAAGATGTCTTCCCTTTTTTGATAGTACACACCTAGGCTTTAAAAATTAGTTATTCTATCAGTATGTTTATTAAAAAATCTAGCAAATAATTTTACTTAAAGCAGATTTGGTTTGAGATACACCCTACTTCAGTTCATCCAAACAATTAATTTATGGATTTTTTCTGAATATTTTTTTAGTTTACTTATCTATAAGTGATGTGTCATTCCAGTTTCTGTTTACTTAGAGAATGAACTGCTTTTCCTTTGAAAGATTTTTGTTAGTCTTTCAAGAACACTGAGTGAAAATACATAATATAACTATCTTCTTGGACCACTAAATCTAAATTGCCATTTAAATGGAATATATCTTTCCAGTTCTTTCACACAGTGAGACAATCTCAGAGGGCCAGAGTCTATGGCCATGATTTGTTTGCTCTAAAAACTTTTTCAAGTAAATGAAGGATGTCTCTTATATTTTATGTAGCGCCCATTCATTTACATGAATGTTGGCCATTGAGTAACAAGTCTCACAGTGACTCTAGAATTGCTTGAGTTAGAGCCAAACTCCCATTTAGAAGGATCTAGATGACGTTAATAGGCTGTCAAGTACTGTACATGAAAAATTATAGCATTATAATTTAGTTTCACAGATTTGGATATTTTGAGGAGAAGTCAATGTAGTTTTAATTAGCTGTTTCAGTTGCAAGCTCCTTTTTTCTTTCTTTAAACCTTCTTTTGAAGGCTAGCAACCTTATGACAGGATTGATGGATTGAATATTGTGAACAGTCCTTATCTGCTTTGTTAGAAAGGCAGTGGCTTGGTTTGGAGACTGTCTTCATCAGGTTACATTCAAATGAATGATTTAGCAATGAAACAAAGAGATGGTAACTTATTGGACAATGCCAAGTAGATCTTCAAGTACATATATAATAAGATCCATGTATTCAAAATGCAAATGAAGAAAATATTTAACAACTTGGTTACTTGTTTTTCTTGTTTCTGAGCCTCTAGTTGGAACTTGCATAATACTTCAAGTTCAAGTGAAAGCTGAAGTACTCAGTTTCAAAAGTGTAAGTTGTTGGAAAAGTAGAAAATACTGCAAAGTTTCTGAAGGTGTTAGAGATTTGGAAGATTTGGAAGAGTCACCTTTTTTTTTTTTTTTTTTTTTTTTTTTTTTTTTTTTTTTTTTTTTTTTTTTTTTTTTTTTTTTTTTTTTAAGAAATATCATTATATGGAATATAACTTAAATGTATTCCATGTACTTTTAGTGCCATAATGTAGCTAGACTTTAAGGTAGTGAGGCTAACAAGCTTTATTTCTTGTAATGACTATTTGTAAATTGGAAATTAACTTAAATAAGGCACTCCCAGACTGTTACAGATTATACTACTTAGAATTAAATATCAAATGTATGTGACTAGTGCAACATTCATAAAATTCAGACAAGGGGAAAGCTAGAGGTGCATGAATTAACAAAAGATTACAGTTTAAGAGAAACCTGATGCTTGTGTGCAGGCACACAAGTGAACACCAAGGGTAAGAAACTAATAGTCTGGTACCTGGTCCCAAAATTAAGTAATTTTATTGAAATTATTTTAAAATATTTTGTCAGTTAGAGATTTTAAGTCTTCATCTCAGTGTTCACCCATGTGAATAAAGTATTTTTTGCTTCCACACAAACCTAATTTAACTAGTATTTTATATAGTCTCTTACTGTTAAAATACTGATATTGAAATGCCATGCATATTATGTAAAAACTTGTTCTCAAGAATTGCATGAAGTAAAAATAAAGCATAATTGACATTTGTGAAGATCAAAGTATTTAGGGGGATTTTTATATCCACTTTATTTATCCTCTCAAAGTTCATGTCTTACTTATTATGTACCCATAGGAATTCAGCTGTTCACAACAGTGAGGCTTAGGAATTATGTGAATCAATTACTTAATTGATTCACATAATTCCTAAGCCTCACTGTTGAGGCTGGTGAATTTTTTTCTTTCTTCTGTCTCCAGAACAGCAGAATTCACATCCTTTGGTGCAGAACCGTGGTATTC